GGTTGAAGAATTGATGGCTAGCAGTTTCGTTCGTAAGGAAGAAACCAGATCCTCTACCGTGCCAGAAGGCACGTCAGAGGTGCCGTGCCTTCGTGCTTTCCAGCAAAACAGCGCACTAAGCTCAAAAAAAAAAAAAAGCCTACCAGCAGAACGGCCCATCTAATCGGCAATGCTATTTTGATTGAGTTTTCTGTTTTTTTTTTGAAAGGAACGCATTGCATTTCCAAGTTACACTGGACCAACCAAATCGGCGGCCATAGCACGGGTTACATCAAACGGTGGGTCTGAATGCCACACAAGTTGGCTCCCTGGTTCAGCATTCAAACCTATAGCAACAAGGAAATGAGCCGGGAGATTACATGCTCTAAGACAGAACAAGACTTTTTGATCAATAAAGCCCAACTGCAAGAAGTATTTGGCTTCACGGAAGAGCACACCAAGAGCACTACGGTCCTGAGTTGTGTCATTCATGGCAAGCTGGAGAGTCTGGCAATCAGTCTCATAGTGCACACGTCCCATCCCAAGTGATTCAGCAGTCTGGATGGCCTTCAATAACGCTTCAGCCTCCCCATGTAGCGCGCTACTCAGGTTCAGAAGCCTACCTGCTGCTGCCAAAATAAACTCTCCGGAGTTGTCCCGCGCTACTAGACCCCATCCTCCCTCTCCTTTATCAGGCTGGAACGCTGCATCTACGTTAATCTTAATTGTATTCGACGGGGGAGCAATCCATTTGGGAGATAGGGTTGGGGTAGGGGCTCGTTTCTGCTTGCCGACCAAGAACTCCATCCACTCCTTCGTCAGATATCCCACTCGAGCACTAAAGACCTCTGCGTCGAGGCGTCTCTTCTGATGGTTTGCACTATTGCGCTCCGACCACCAGGCCCATAGCAGGCAGATTGTACGCAACTTAATTTCCTCACGAAGCTTGAAAACCGCTGCTAGCACTTCATAAGGGGTGTCACATAGCAGGAGTTGTTGCCTGGTATACTCAAGACCGCAGAAACGCCACCTGATCTTGACCTCCTTGCAGCGCAGGAATAGATGACCCCCATCTTCAGCCTGACGGTGGCATAGTGGACACAGGACATCTAGCTCCACGCCAAGTCTTTCGACATTACGGAGGAGAGGGTGGCTATTTAGAGCAAATCTCCACATCAAGTGATGGACCCTAGGGGGGCAAGGTGTAACACCCCGGATGTAACTTTCTCTATTTGTACTCCAACTCTTGTCGTTTCCGGCGTTAAGTTATATTTATTTCTCGGGTTCGGGTCTTTGTCTCCGTGTGTCGTTTTCGTTTTCATGCATCCCATATCATGTCATCATGTGCATTGCATTTGCATACGTGTTCATCTCATGCATTCGAGCTTTTTCCCCGTTGTCCGTTTTGCATTCCGGCGCTTCGTTCTCCTCCGGTGGTCATTTCTAGCTTTCTTTCGTGTGTGGGGATTAAACATTTCCGGATTGGACCGAGACTTGCCAAGCGGCCTTGGTTTACTACCGGTAGACCGCCTGTCAAGTTTCGTACCATTTGGACTTCGTTTGATACTCCAACGGTTAACCGAGGGACCGAAAAGGCCTCGTGAGTGTTGCAGCCCAACGCTCCTCCAATTTGGCCCAAAACCCACCAAACTCTGCTCCATCACCTAGAGCGTTCGATCACGATCGCGTGGCCGAAAACCGCACATCATTTGGACTCTCCTAGCTCCACTTATGTCTATAAATAGCCCCCCGGTTTTCGGATCATCTCCTCCTATGAAACCCTAGCAAAAAAAAGAATCCCCGCGCTGGCCGGACACGTCCGATCCGACCGGACGCATCGCCGCAGCCAACCCGCCGTTGCCACGTGGCCTCCGCCACCTATCGCGCCGCCGGCCCGGGAGGCCCACGCCCGGCCCCCGACTCCGCCACCGCGGGCCGCCGCCTCGCGCTCGTCTCCGCCGACAGCGCCCGCCTCCTCCGCCATCTTCCTCGCGCCCGGTGGCCGGAGCCACCGCGCTGCCTCTCCGGCGCCACCGCGCCGCCTCGCCAACTCCGGCCGTCGCCGGCCTCGTCTTCTACACCGGCGGCCGCCGCCGCCCGCCGCCTCGGGCCACCGCTCCGCCCCGAGCCGGCCGGCCGCCGCCCCAGCCTCTCCTCCACTCCGGCGAGCTCCCCACGCCCGGCCTCCTCCTCTCCAAGTCCGGCAGCTACAGTAACGGTGGCGAACCTTGGGAACCGCGCCAGATCCAGATCTGGAAAAAAAAATCATCTCGGTTGACTTTTCTTTCCCGAACCCTAATTTTTGTGCATACTTTGACCGGTGATATCTTTGCATCCGTAGCTCCGTTTTGGACGTATAGTATATCAAAATGTTCGCCTCGACGAGTACATCATTTGATTCCATTGCATCATTTTCATTTGAGCTCATATTGATGCCCGGAATGCTGCTAGAAGGGGGCTTCGTGAGATATTTGTCAGATCTGCTAGTTCATCTTAGACTTTTGTCATTTTTGCCATGATTGTTGTGTGCATGATATGCGTGTGAGTCCTTCATATATTTTGTTAAAGATTTTGTCTTCTTTCCAGAGGTGCAACCCATGCATTTTTAGGATGTGTGTGGTGACTTGTGCAAGCTTGCAAAGTGAGGCACCCGGTAAACCTGTTTTCAGGGACTTAGTAGTTTTCACTAAGTCTGGGATTATTTAGTTCATGATGCCATATGTTCTTGCTGTTTCCTAGTGATCCGTGCCTCTTTTGAGGATGATCAGTAAAGGAGTTTTGTTAATCTTGTTATGCTCTATCCATCCATGTCTTTACTTGCAATTATGGAGCACCCTAGCTTGAGTCAATCGAGCTCTACTTTTGCTTCGTGGTGAATCTGAGCAGATCGTCAACTCGTTTGCGATTTTGCCGATGTTATTGTAGTTGATCCGTGCATGCTATGCCATTGTTCTTGCCATGTCTAACTAGCATTTTGTGTCTTCTTTATGGATGTATGCTTTCCTTGCCATGACTTGCACCGTAGTGAGTGCATCGAGCTCGTTTACATGCCTTCGTGAGTTATATTTCAGCATGTCTCAGTCTTCACTAAGTCTGAAAACTGATTATGTTTTTGCTATGTTCGTGTGCCCGTTAGTATATTTTGTGAACCCTTTTGGCCCCAGGACACTTTGGCTATTTTGTTAAGCTTGTTGAGTAGCTCCATGCCATGTTCTTACTTGTCTTAATCAGGTCATGTATCATGTTGTTTTGCTGCTCCGAAGAGGGCTTCGTGATCTGAAATTTCAGACAAGTGTTAATTTCACTAAGTCTGAAATCTGTTTTGCATTTGCGTTTTTGCCATGCTTGTTTGAACCTCATAATGGATGAATTGGCCATGGCTCAGTGCTAGTCTTTTGTTAAGCATCTTGTGTTCATCCCTGCCATGTATATTGTTGTCATGTTTGGTGGCTGTAGCATGTTCATCTCATTGCATTTAGATGCCTACTTGCTGTAAATCGCAGACCGATGTCAATTTTGAATCGCTTGCCATTTCCCAACCGTAACTCCGATTCCGACGTTCTTTATATCGTTTTCAAGCGATTTCATCTCATCTTTCCAGTGGCACCCTTGGAATTCCAAGTTGAGGCCAGGTTCATGCATATCCTGTCATATCTTGCATTTTGCATCCCGCATCGTATCCCGCATAGCATATCATCATTTCATCATATTTCTTGGTCTTGCACGTGGTTGATTGTATCCTTGTTGCTTGTTTGTCTTGTTGGGTAGAGCCGGGAGACGAGTTCGCTATCGAGGAGCCAGTTGAGTTTGCTCTTGAGGATCCAGTCAACTCTGACAACTGTGCAGGAAAGATGATCATACCCTCGAAATCACTACTATCTTTGCTATGCTAGTTTGCTCGCTCTTGCTATGCCAATGCTACGATGCCTACCATTTGCTTGTCAGCCTCCCAATTGCCATGTCAAACCTCTAACCCACCTTGTCCTAGCAAACCGTTGATTGGCTATGTTACCGCTTTGCTCAGCCCCTCTTATAGCGTTGCTAGTTGCAGGTGAAGATTGGAGGCCGTTCCTTATTGGAACATTTATTTACTTATTGGGATATCATTATATTGCTATGTTATCTTAATGCATCTATATACTTGGTGAAGGGTGGAAGGCTCGGCCTCTCGCCTAGTGTTTTGTTCCATTCTTGCCGCCCTAGTTTCCGTCATACCGGTGTTATGTTCCCGGATTTTGCGTTCCTTACGCGGTTGGGTTATAATGGGAACCCCTTGATAGTTCGCCTTGATTAAAGCTTTTCCAGCAATGCCCAACCTTGGTTTTACCATTTGCCACCTAGCCTTTTTTTCCCTTGGGTTCTGCAGACTCAAGGGTCATCTTATTTTACCCCCCGGGCCAGTGCTCCTCTGAGTGTTGGTCCACCTGTCAGCTGCCGGTGGCCACCAGGGGCAACTCTGGGCTGGCCTACCCGTATCTAAGACAATCTGAGTGTGCCCTGAGAAAGAGATATGTGCAGCTCCTATAGGGATTTATCGGCACTTTCGGGCGGTGTTGCTGGTCTTGTTTTAACCTGTCGAAGTGTCTTGAATTACCGAGATACCGAGTCTGATCGGA